AGAGAGCAGTTTAACCAGTCTATGTGGAATATGAGAATACCAGAGGTCTAATCAAAAGATGAAAAAATGCAATTCAGAAGACAACTGTTGATCTGTTATTGTGCCTGGCATAAGCCTTTACCAAGCTCAGCCGAAGTCCAGATTCTTTCATTGCCAATCCGATTTTGTTTTGTGCTTATGGACTTGAACCACAAAGGCTTTTTTAATTATGTGTGGAATACAAACATTTTTTAATTTACTCAATATTCCCTTTCTATTTTAACAGCCTTCCTGCCTAAACAATCAACTGGTATATGTGGACTGCAAGAAAGGTACCATGGTCCAGGTGGACAGTTCTCAGAGGATGCTAAGAATTGCAGACCCAGATTCAAGATACAGTGGATTTTACAGCATGCAGAAACAGAACAACCTACAGGCAGATAATTTCTATCAAACAGTTTGAAGAATTGCACCCTTACCAAGGATTTAAGAAAAAGAGAGAGAGAGAGAGACTAAGTCTGCTATTAAAATAAAACTAGAATTGTGCACTTGCTTAGTGGATTGTATTGGATTTGTGACTACATGTACAGCTCTAAGACCTTACTGGGATGAGCTCTGACTCCTGCAATGTGCCAGAAAAAGCATTCCCACTTTTCCTTAAGATAACTGACCAAGTGTTTTCTTAGAACCAAAGTTTTAAAACTTGTTAAGATGTATTTGCTTGTAACATAGCTATAGAGGTTTTTTGGGGAGGGGGAATCAGGGGCTAGGGGTAGGCAATGAGGTAAAAGGAAGCTTCACAGAAGAAAAGCTGGTCATGCTTGGCTGGAGAAGACAATGAATACATATTGCCGAGCAGCAGGATAGTGTTTTTTCTCACTGCTCTGAAATCGCATCTGTTGCAGCAAAGCCTAACCCCAGGTGAAAAACATGAAAAGGTCTGATTATTTTTTTTTTCCCAGCTGTTGCTACAGTAATATACTTCTAGAACAGAATTTGTCACATCACAGGTGTGGTGTAGCTGCAAATATTTTTCTATATGATGAGAAGCTGCAGTAGTTAATGAAATAGCAAGAAAAAGGTTATAGCAGAAAATAAAGGGTGGGTTTATTAAGGATGTATAAAATTATACCTTGTGCTGCTTTTTGTTTTTATTTTAGTTTTCTTCAAAGTTGATTGGCTAGATTAGCCAGACTTCGGCAGAGTTAGCAAATGACTGAGGCCTAAGTAATTCCTGATACGAGCACTGGATCTTTTGACAGCAGTATTGAAGGAAGGAAGGAAAAGTCAAGAACACCATGCAGTTCCAGGGGCTTTTGTTTGTTTGTTTTGTCTGTTGTGGTTTTGTTTTGTTATTTTATATCAATCTCTGGTTGTTCATAGAGGAGAAGGAAAACTATTTTTGTTGGACAAAGCTCTTGCTTACAAGAGAGTAAAAAAAAAAGAGACTGTTTTAAGGTTGTTTTTCTTTCCTGTTGATGTTCTTATTTACTGGTATGCAGATTTAGAAACTACTTCCATGCTAGGAAGCTGCTTAATTTTAATTGTATATTACTCAAGCACCTTTTTTGAAGCTCAGAAAAAAAAAAAGGAGATCATGCTTCTTTAAACTTTAGCATTATAGGAATATTTATGTAAATATAATTATGCTAAAAACAACAAAAAGTATTTGTATGTTTGTGTATATATATGTATATACAAATGCATGTAGGTATACGTATGTATATATACATGCATGTGTATATACACTATACATATATATACTGTATATATAAAGTACTATGTATACAGTATATATCTTTTCTATTTTTTTTCTTGTTGAATGTATTTTTATCTGAGAGAGATTTTACCCAGAGCAGAAACAGGTAAACAGGCATTCCATATCAATGCTTAATCGCTTGTGAGTTTAGGAAAGACAAGGAAAGAGCATCTCATTCTACCTACAGTTTGATTTGATTTGATTTAAAAGTGTTCGTGTGTGCGTGCGTGTGTGTGTGTGTGTATGCACTCTTGTGTTTGCGTGTGTACAGTATGTGCACGATTATAGCAGTAAGCGTTGCTCTTGCTACTTGCTACATTTCAGGGTGTTTCTTATTTTTCTTTTCCTGCTTGGCCTTAAAAAGGCTTTTTAATGAATGCATTGGCTAGAGACACTGATGACAATATACATGCAGCACTAATCAGCTCCATAGAATAACACCACCAGCTCCTGGATTTTCTTTTTTTTTTTCTTTCTTTCTTTTCTTTTTTTCTTTTTTTTTTTTTTCAAACAATTGTTTGAAACAACTACTGGAATATTGTCCACATTAAGCTGGAAGTTTGTTGTAGCTTGCCTCATTTATAACTCTGACTGTGTAATACAATGTTAACTTTCCAAACAGGTCTTGGCACTTTTATACTAATTACCCATTTGTGCATTGCCTTTTTTCTTTTACAAATGCTTGTCATAAGAGACACAGATACCCAGTATGCTTAATGTGAAAAGAAATGTATTTTTTGTAAAGGAACTCTCAAGTATTGTTGTAAATACTTGGTCAGAGGTTGCTGAACTTTAAAACTGAAAAAAAAAAAAAAACTAATTTATTATTATAATGACCTAATTTATTAATCTGAAGATTAACAATTTTTTTGTTTTAGAATATCAAAAAGGTGTTCTAGCTGTTTGCATCAAAGAAAAAAAAATAGGTGTATCATTAAGGGTCAACATTTTTTCTGCTTATGTAACTTCAGTTTCTAACCACCAATAAGAAAAAATGTAATCTCCCCAGCGTTTTGTACTCGATCTGATATTGAAACAGAGATGTTTCTCTCCAGTTACTACAAAGATTTTGTCAAGACAAAACATCCATTCCTTGCATAAGAGTAAGCGGTCTTTATCCAGAAATTGTAAATGCTTGCTTTTATTTTACAATCAAGGCCATATTCTGAAAATATTAGCAGGATATAGGACATGGTGTAAAATGTTTTTTATTATTATTATTATTTTATTATTATTATTTTAAAGATATGATTTATGCTATGTGCTGTATCCATTACACTCTTTTACTTTGGTTCCTGTTGTGCTCTTGTAAGAGAAATGCAGATATAATTTTCTGAGAAATAGATGCATATGTGGCACTCGGAGTGCACTGCGGTTCAGCAGATTGCTTGTTTACTTTTTTAACTGTAAGGCGGTTTCTTGTAATTTGGCTCTTGGCAGCACAATAAAAAAATTTTAAACCTATTGATGCGTATTTTCTTAAGCGTTCACATTTATTTTTTCTGCACGCTGGTCCTTGAGACATTAGTTTATAGCTTGATATTATGGTGAGGGGTTTTTTCCCCTGGGGGTAGGAATTCGTAATGTTGTCCTGCTGACCCTAGATCAGAACAGCACAGAATATATTGTGGGTAAAGAACAGTTTGGGTTTTACACTGGAGAATTTTCACATTAGAGGACTTTTTGGAATTCCAAATAGCTTAAATGTTCAGTAAAGGTGAGTCTCAAATGCAATGTTAGGCCTTGGCCCTGACATTGAGTCCATGTGGTCTAGTCATACCTGTCAGAAAGCAGTAATTAATCACAAGGAACTCCAATACGTGGTCCTATAGAAAGTGTGTGGAATCACAATTTGCACTTCATGGACTTTGTGAGCCACAGATTATTTATTTACCCATTAGCTGATAATGTCTGGGATTTTTTTCTTCTGTTAATTTGTAAATTAATGGACTTGATGTAAAGTTCTTTTATGTAATCTCCTGAGGCACAGAGTTTTTCTGTTTAACTACTTGCCATGTGAAAAGCTGCCTCCTTTTTTTGAACCTACCCTCTTGATGGTTTCATTTGATACCGCTGACTTTCTGCATTCAAAGCAGCAGTGGATCAGCATCTATATGCCATCCGTTAGAGACCTGTATTTTCTATTTTTCCTGTGCTGAAAAGCCCAAGATAGGATTCTTCGGGAGCATTTCCCTACCTTCTGGCCGACCTTGCCATACCCTGCACTTCCCATTCTGTTACATTATTTTGAAATGAAGGGTGTAGGGACTGCATATGTGCACGTTGTCCAAATGTGGTACACCTTGTATCTTGGCATCATATTTACTGTTTGGATTGCTAATGACCCCTGAGTGATGTTCTTGCTGAGCTAGCTGCAATAATCCAAAATACCCAAGTAGTAATAGTTACCACGAAGCCCATAATTGACTTTGACTAGGATACATAGGTATTTTTGTGCATTCCTTTACATTTATGTAAAGTCTTAAAGGCAAAAGTCTTTAAAGGTTGTACTTGATGATCTTAAAGGTCTTTTCCAACCTAGTTGATTCTGTGATTCTTTAAATTACTTCAGTGGCACAATGACCAGGGTAGGTGCTGCTTAGCAACAATTAAAACATCAGTGTGTTACCAGCATTCCAAACACCAAGTAGGAAGTATGCAAATAAAGTTAGAGGCTCAAACCAAATTCAAGAAGTTGAGCAGAGACTATCTGTGCTGCGTATTCTGGGATATCGAAAGGTTACAGCAGGTCAAGAGGTACTAAGTAAAAATAAAACATTAGAAGCTAACAAAGTGCTAGGAAAAGCTAAGTATCTCCAAAACTTTGTTCTGTATGTGGCTCACTGGAGGGAAAAGCGATAGCCCAAGAGCTACCCATCTCTAGGTTACCAGGTTCAATGAAATTACTGCGGGTACACCTCCCGGTCAGGCGCCCCTCGTGCTGCCCCACAAGCACCTGACCCAGCGCACCCTGTGCAGTGGCCAGGGCCAGCTTTCCTGCCAGCCCGGGCTCTCCTCTTGCCCCACAGCCAGCGTCGGGGCTGTCCCGCTTGGCGCTCGGACACAGCCCCTGGCCGGGCCGGGCCGCACCGCCCCTTTCTCCCCCCCCCCGGGACGGTTCAGCCCCGGCGCTACCACGGAGCCGCCGCTGTCCTCAAGCCCCGGCAGCGGCGCTGACTGACAGCCGTCTGCTCGCGCCCGGCTGCGCCCCGCCCGCTGCTGCCGTCGGGCAGCCCCGCGCCGTCACGCGCCCCGCCCCGCCCCAAGCTGCAGGAGGCGCCGGGAGCGCGCACTGCCGGGAGCGCGCGGGCCGGCGTCCCCAGCTGCGGCCGCGGCAGCCATGGCGGCGGCGGCCTCCCAGCGAGACCCCGGGGACTGGCAGGACTTCTCTGGGTTCCAGCCTTCTGCGGGGGGCGGCCCCGAGGCTGCCCGTGACAAGGGCGGCTGGGGCGGTGGAGACCTGGCGGCGAGGCTGTCCCTCTGCTTTGAGCCCCCGCAGGCCCGGGCTGGCGGCGGGGAGAGCCGCGTTCCGCTGCGTCCCCTGACAGAGCAGAGCGCCCTGCAGGACGACGAGTGAGTGCAGGCCTGGGGAACAAGGGGTGGCGAGGAGGGGGAGCGGCCGTGGCTGGGCCGCCCGAGGAGGCGAGGCCTGGCCCGGCCTGAAGGTACGGCCGGAGCAGGGGCGCGAAGCCGGTGGGCAGTGCGGGCTCTGTGGGTCGACAGCCCTGCCCCGGGTAAGAGCTGCCAGGGGGCCTTCACCTCGAGGGGTCCCAGCAGGGTTTGAGGGCTGCGGAACTGGAACCGTCTGGTTGTATTTCCCGAACCGTCAAGGAAGTGTGTGAGCATCCTAGTGCTCTTCCCTCCGGGGTAAGGAAAAGTAGCTGTTCTGAAATGCAGAGTGACTGAGGGTAGGATTTGTTTAGCTTCTTGCCAAATGTCCTCTGTTTTCAGTGTTTGAAATTAAACATGGAAAGAACGGAAAGCAGGTGAAGAGAAAAATCTCAACTGTGCTAATTCTTTTTTACTTTTTTCCTCCTGAGCAGTAAAGCCTTTATGATCTGTGCTGCCTTCCTGTTTTTAACATTATTTTGCAGGCATTTATACTAGTAACATTATTTACAGTAAATTTCATTTAGAATACTGCAGTTTTACTTTGAGGAACCTAAATTGTATACCTTATCCTAAGAGAAGAAAAAAAAAACAGTTGGCAAAAGACTATGTATTTATGGTTAACAGTGAGGTAAGTTTGGAGAACGATGAAGCAGAAACATATTGGGCAGCAGTGAGGCTCTGTCTGCCTTCTGTGTGTGGCTTGGCTGTTCCTCTGACCTCCTCTGAGCCTAGCTAGGCAACCACTCCAAACATGCCCCTGCAGCATAGCGTTTGGAGGCATGGTTTGTTGGCTGACTTGAGGCAGCAACTTGCTAACAGGGCTGCTCTGTTTCAGAATCTGAAATGGTATAGCAGAATAGGGCTGCCACATATGCAAGCCTGTAGTGTGCCAGAGAGGTTGTGCGCTGTAGACACAATAAAGATCAGCTGTAGGCAAGAGTGGTGGACTGAGCTCAGCAAGAGTACTTCTGGATAAAGCTAAATTATTGCAAAATGTTAGTTAAATTTGTGCATGTTCATTATTCTGTGATAGAGAAGGAGAAGAAAGAGAGAGAAGGTGAGGAAGAAAGAGCAAAGAGAATGAGAAAGAATTGTCTCAAAATTTGCTACTCAGCCTCTGCTAATTCCAGACTTTAATGTGCAAAAGGCAAGGAAAATAGGAACAGTGGGTATAGGATGTATAGCTGAGCTCAAATTTCATTAAAGGATGGGCTCCCCCAGAAAGATTCTGAGTATGGTTATATAATTAATAATGAATCTGTCTCTTAATAGCATTGTTCTGTTTCACCACTGTGCATACATTGTTGGGTATAAAGAGAAATAAATTACATTTGTCAAAAAGAAATACTTTCTCTTAGCTTCAAACCATTATAAAAATAGTGTCAGTAACTTGTAGATGAATATTTAGGGAGGAATAAATAGTTGTTGATAGAAATAACAGTACTAGCGTATTTACTGCTGATCAGTTGCTGCTTGTTTTAAGGTATGCATTTTTGTTCTGTTATTCCTCTCTCCAGGATTTGGAATGCTTTGACTGATAATTATGGTAACGTAATGCCAGTTGACTGGAAATCTTCCCACACCAGAGCTTTGCACTTGCCAACACTAAATCTTTCCGAAAAAGGGGTAAGTTCTGATCAGCAGAAACACCTTCTTTGGATCTTTTGTACTTGGCAGGAAAATAAAACAATTTATATTTATATAAAGAGTGTTGTTATTAAATCTGTTAAAATATTTTTAGTGCTTGACATTATACATGAGAGGTTTTAAAAAATAAAATCAACCAACCATCGATGTATGTTGGAATCTCTGTCTGTTGGCATAATTCAAGGTTAGTCTTTGGATGTTCATTAGAGCTAGTGGGTGATAGAAGAAACTGTAAAATTAGGAAGTTTTTTCGCATAAAATCTTTCTACTGTGTTTCACATTGAACACTGTCCAGGGTTAGGGGGGAATAGAGGTGAGAGTACTGTCATTTAGTAAATGCAGTGTAGAATTTAAGTTCATCTCATCTTGCTCTCAAGTAGAGACTGAAGTGTCTTCTTTTACAGGAAAAGTGACACAGGAGACAGTGAAGTGTGGGTTTGGTTTGGTTTTCATATTTAACAAGTGTAATAGTTGTCTGGGGATGGAGAAAGGAATGAAGAACTTCACAGAGGTTTATAGAAAGGGTTGTCCTCTGATCTTCTTAAAAGTGGATTAAAACGCTTCAGGAAGAAATGCTAGGAAGTATTCCCATCTCCCAGGACTTCTGAGGAAACAAGTGGCTTATCTTTTAAACATAGTGAAGTTGAGTCGTGTTGTAAAAATATCTCATTGTAACCTAAGAATAGTGTAATGCTTTGACTTTTGCCATCTGTTATATAATCCACAGCTACATTTTACTGTGACATGAACAGAGATTGCTCTGCTGAAGAGGATACTTTGCGGTTCAGCCGGGCAAGATGACAATTGAAAACTCACCTTCTCAATTTGAGTCTGATGATCATCCCTTGAATTTGACTTATGTTTATTCTACTTTTTATCAGAGTGAGCATTCAGATTTTCTTAGTGGGTTTTGAGTAATTAAATCCTTATATTTAAAGCAGAAAGACTTAAAACCCTCTTTGCTTCAACCTTGTTGTGTGACTGAAATATGAATAGAAGACTGATGGATCTCTTGATAAGGAACTAGGTACAATGTCAAAAAAAATGTTTCATATAGTCTTTGTAAGTTGTTTGCAGGAAGTTATGGAAGAACTACGTAAAAAACATAGTGGTGTTGCTGTTTTAGAAGGAATATAAGCTATGCTGCCAGTAGAGGGAAAATCAGTTTATGGATTAAACATGTATCAATTTTTTTTTCAGCTTTCACTCCACCTGGTGTGCCTTTTTATGTGTAAAACCCATCTGTTTGGAAGCATTTGACATACTTTTTTTTTTTCCTACTTTGCTGTGTTTCAGCAGTATTTCTGGATAAGTGGCAGCACATATGGACCAGCTAGTAGATTGTTTTAACTTTCTCACAATGAATGCTAACAACTAAGCAACACTTTTTTTTATGCATTTGAAACTAATAATATGCTGTTGAACTTGTGTTTAAAGATTTCTGTTCCTGTTTTCGTAGGGAAAAAGACGTAGGCTGAATAAAGGTGATTTGTCTGATCTTTGTTGCTTCACATCACAGATCTGTGCACTGTAGGGCTCTGACAGTGAAAGAAGTAGTTGGGTAGAAGCGTTGTTCAGGGGCACAAGGAACAGGATTGTGCAATTCCATGTTTATTTTTGTTAGATCACTTCTGAATGGGTCATTCCCTGATGGAAATGTGCGGACAGAAATGGGCATGGAGTGTGACTGTGTGGAAGGCCTGGTGGACCTCCTGGCAGCAGTTGTAGGTTGTCCTGGTTTAGGAGGTTTATTTAGGAGCCTAAATTATCAAAATACGTTTTAATAGTCACTCAAAATGTTGTTTCTGGAAGATGTCAGGAGAAGAAGCTGACCTCCTTCTAGATCAACTGCTGTGATCTAGTTGTTGTCATAATCCTATATGACAATCCTCAGCCCTAGGCTGAGGGGCTTTTCTAGTTTGTTTTGCCTAGAACCTTGTAATAGACAAAATGCAGAAAAGGCAAATAAATTTTAAATAAACTAAAATATATCACTTTGTGAGAGTAAAAAATACCTGACTGATCAAGGAGGAGAGTTATTTTTTTTCCTTTGCTATGTGCACATTTTGGTTTTGAAGTATAGAAACACATAAAACAACAGGCTTGTGTAATGTTAGAGACTATGGGTAGGTTTTCGTCCCACACTGACAGTCGTCTTTCTTCCTTTAAGATTTAAATGCCTACATTGGATTGACTGCCTTGCATTTAGATATCTGCACATCACAGTGTATATGGTCTTTGTATGCTGAGGGTATTTAAAGACTTTAAAGACTGACTACTATTTTAACTTCCTCCAGTTGCAGTTTTGATTTCAGTTAAGGTATTTCAGCTTCCAGGTATTTGACAGCAAGAATCATTGATGCCATTATTAGGGGCAGGGAATCTGTTTCATAAAATTCACTGTTAGCTCCCAGGGTTGTTTTTTTTTATATATACGTACATGGATTTTATACACACACAAAAGTGTGTGTGTATTTATATAAATAAACATTTTGGTGCTTTCTAGGTAAACGATAACTTGAACCTTGACCTGTCAGATGACGAAGAGCTGAGAGAACAGTTGGATATGCATTCTATCATTGTTTCCTGCATCAATGATGAACCACTTTTCACAGCAGAGCAGGTAAGTGTTCAGCAAAGACAGTTTTGTTGGTGTAGTATTTTTTTTCATTATGTAATTCTTTTTTTTTCTTCTTTGCTGTTCACTGTAGCCAAAATTCTTGATTGTTTTTTATTTAGGGTTTTTTGTTTAGGGTCATAATAATTTGTGGTATTTGATCATTCAGGTTTGAAAAGTATTCTAAATGCTTCAGGTGATGTTGATAGTTCAGGGGTTTTGAAATGTTTATGCATTTCATACCGTGACTTAGTCAGAAATACTACTAAATTATCTGTTAAGAAGCAATAATGTTTTCAGAATGTCAGTGGTATTGTAGAGTTTGTAGTTTTTCACCATGACCGTGTACCCATTCATAGCTTCACGTTGCTTTGTGGTTAGTGAGAATTCTTCAAGGTTTTTGCCAAATGCAAGAGCAGATCGGCAGTTCTGCTACTAAGCTTTCAAGTTACTTAGTGTTTAAAGGTTTCTGTTCCAATCCATGGATTTACTTCAGTTTTGTCTTGAAAATTGCTCTTCTGTGTAAGGTTAATGACTGTCCAGTAAGATCCTCCTTTAGTAAGCAAATACAAGAGTGTCTTTTCTTGTTGTTCAGATGGTTACTTGTGGACTCTGATGGACATGGTTTAAACCACGACAGTTATTAAGGGTACAAGAGACAGGATTGCTTGAACTGTCTCAGCTCTTTACTGTGAGGTGGATCTTGGTGCTGACTGCAGCTTTTAAACCTGTAAAAGTTGATGTGTTGTTCAGCTATTCGGTTAATAATTTAACCTGTAAAATATGGTCATTTTTATACTGCAAAGTAAGCTCTCTGTTCTTGTAATTTATGTGTCGCTCAGGTCTTATGCTCAGGGATGCAGATCAGCTTGAGGTGATGACGGACCAGTTCATAAAACTTTTCATAAGCACAGCAGATTTTTCAGGTTGTTTGAAGATTTGTTTGTTTGAACAGGTGTAGTGAAATGGGGGGTGCAGAGGTAGCTGATATTTGTTGTTATTTTGTTTTACTTCAACTGAATACTTAGGAATTCATATATTCTGGGTCACTCTTTAGTTTGGTTCTCTTAAGCAGAACCATGTGTACCTTCACATATAAATAACTGTCTAGTTTCAACACACTTCTTGTTATGAGATCACCAGTTTACCTTGAAAAGGTAGGCTTATTCTCAGAGAGCGAGGATGGTGAGAGAATGTCAGTAAGACTTTGTTGGTTCTCTTCCATCTAGTCATGGTATTAGTTTTGTCCAACAGCATCTTCGCTAATTGAGAGTGAAAAAAAACCTTAAGCTCTTACCAGGTTTCTTCAAATTGCAGGCAGTTTCTCTTAGTGCAGGAGGGTTTTCATTAGGGTTTTCATTATTTGAAGGTGATTGAAGAAATAGAGGAAATGATGCAGGAATCACCTGATCCAGAAGATGATGAAACACCCACACAATCAGATCGGCTCTCCATACTTTCCCAGGAAATTCAGACGCTCAAGAGATCCAGTACGAACAACAGCTATGAAGAGAGTAAGTGATATTTATTTAGTATTTTGCTCTTATGATTACTGAATATAGCTTAAATGGCACGTTTGCCATGTGTTTGCTTTATGGCAAGTCCTTCTTATGAAATACCTGCATTCAAAAATATTTTCAAATTGCCCTGAAGAGTAACCTGGATTTAGAACCTAAATAGAAATCTTATCTTTGTCAGCTTTCATAACTTAGAATAAAAATAAAACTTTATGGAATTTCCGATTAAAGCAAATATGCTGAAGCTTGATTCACTGGAATGAGGTCCCTTCATAGGTAAAGTGATAACTCAGTCATTTTTTATTGAACTTTGAGATACTTTCTTGAGGACAGTACAGTGCATTTAAGAAGACTAGCTAAAACTCTGGAGAGCTATGCATCTCCAGATAAAGAAAATAAAGAAAATAGTGTTTTGTTGTTACTATTTCAGTCATTGCAACATATTTTGATATACACTACACAAAAATAAGGCAACGGTTGCCTTGTTTTTCTCATAAAAAACTTGCATATTATTGTCCTTCCATTTCTCTTCAGATAAAGTAAAATTAAAAAAGACCAAAAAAAAAAAACCAACCCCCCCCAAGACCAACACTTCGTATCATCTTCTACTCAAATGAAATCATCTGTTCCTTTCTATACAAAAGGAAAGGAGAAATTACATGTATAGTTTAATTGTAGTAGGTTGAATTGTATGTGAAAGAAACTTGTGATTAGTGAGTTTTATGATTGGAATTTATTTCATTTGCATATTTGTCAAAATCAGGTCTCGAAGGTGATATGAACCCAAGGAATATTTGCTAGATGATCCTTCTACCCTACCTTGGTCCCTTTTACGAAGTTTAGTGCTTTCTTTCCAGTAGTCTGGGTCAGCAATATAAAATCCGTGGAAGATTCAGAAAACTGGATGACCTTTTGTGACATGACTTACAGTTTCTGGTGTACTTCAGATTTTTGGAGGAAATCCCATTTTCGTGGTTAGACTCTTAGCTGTCTCAACACATAAATTTCAGGAATGTGAACACAAAGTATATCCTGCTCAGCAGGGCTTCCTGCTTTTCTGACAGTTCCATATGTCCTTAGGTTTGGAGCTAATCAAGCTGGTTTGATATTTCATATTGTATTTATTTTGCTTTGCCTCAGGAGTTCATCTTGTCTGTTGCATCTTTACGGTTTAAAGGTCAGTCTTGACAACCAGCCTTGAGTTACTTTGGCAGATAGTTTAACTTTGCTTCACCAGTTTCTCACATCTTTCAGGTTGCTACTTTATGAAAAGCTCTTGCTCCCTTTTTTTTGGCATGCAAAGCTGCTTCAGAATTAGTCTGCACCTCTCTGTGAAATTGTTGCAAAGTTTACCTAGAAACTGTGTCTTTTATAAGACAAGTCAGAGGTGTTAACATTTAGGGTTGAGAGCAGGAAATCAAACCTTGTATTTACTTTTTTCTTGGATAGGAAAAGACATGTATTAAAACAGTCTGAAAATAAAACTAGCTACAGCTCTATTTACACAACTGAGTCCTTTAGCCTGAATAGCTAAGATTTAATCCAAGTAGTCTTCTGTATTTGAATTTGTCTTCACTCACCTGCCTCAGCTGCGTAGTTCCTGTGTAGCCCTTTTGTAGGCTTTGAGAACAGCAACTGATCCATCATAAATGAGTCAGGATTGCAGTTGGGTAATCTGCACCTATGTCTTTGGAACAGTGGTTTTTAGCTTGTGCAGTATTAGGGCTTCCTTGTACTTCCTTAATTACAACATAGAATCATGGAAAGTTTCTTCTGGAAGGGACCTTCAAAGGTCATCTAGTCCAACCTCCCTTCAGTGAGCAGGGGTATCTTCACCTGCCTTCATATTTGTATACTATCTCAGATTTCTCAGAAATAAGAAGCAAGTTTAGCCACCTTCTTGTTGCTAGTCTAGTTACCTTGTGATGTATTTATTCCTTTGGGAATGTTGTTTTGTTCTATGTAGGTTTAAAATTGAATTTTTTTGTTTTGAACATTTTCAGAGTATATTTTTCTTGTAATTTCCATAAGTATCCTCATGCTTAAAATCTTGACAGATTACTTTTTATATGAATTATTTATAGGAGTAAAAAGATTGTCTGTTGCTGAGTTAAATGAGTTGCTAGAAGAAATTGAGACTGCTATTAAGGATTATTCTGAGGAACTGGTGCAGCAATTGGCTCTACGAGATGAGTTGGAGTTTGAGAAGGAAGTGAAAAACAGCTTCATTTCTGTCCTCATAGAAGTACAAAACAAACAGAGAGAACACAAAGAAACAGCAAAGAAGAAAAAGAAGCTGAAAAATGGTAGTCCTCAGAATGGCAGACAAGAAAGAGGTCATATGCCTGGAACAGTAAGAAAACTTTTGTAACTGTTTATGCATTTTAAATGTCTTGTTTTGTTGTTGTTTTTTTTCTATGGGAAGTAATAGTCCTGGATTATATCAGAATACCTACTTCCATGCCTTCATTTGCAGACAAGGCTTAGGCACTTCCTGCTGAGGTTATTTTTTTTCCACAAGGTCATACAACATATTATTCTTCTCATACTCAAAATGTTATTTGAGAATTAGCCTGGAATCAGCATACCTTTCTTTCAAAAAATACTGTCTTTGGATGTACTGCTGCGTGTTCTATTGTCAGTAGGCAAACACATTTATCTGTTTGGTTTCACTGTGTGAATTTTAGTATGCATGTACCACTGATAGCCTGCCAGGAAATTCAGTGCTATTGTTGGTTTAGCTGTACAGCCACTTACTGATCATGTTGGGTATTAGGTAGGAAAAATGAGAAAGTCTTACCCTGGATCTCCTGAAACCTGTGGTAGAGTTACCATGTCCAATGAGAGTCAGTGGTGAGGCCAAAATGTAGTGCAGGAGTAGAGGGGGAAGATAATTTGGTTTATTATTTGCAGAATATAGCAACAAAAGCAAAAATGTCTTTCAAACAGAGATTGAATAATAGGAGGCAGAGAGTGAAAGAAATTAGGTTGTTAATGCGGTATTTTCCTTCTTATTTGTCCCAGTATATTTTTAAATTACTTAAGTGGATTTTAATACTAGTATTTCTTAGTGTCTCTTATAGGATGCAGAAAATGCGGTTAATGTATCGTACATATTTGCTAAGTCCTGGATCGAATGCTTCGGTTTGATATCACAAGGACTTGGGGCTTGTTTTTCAAACATAAGGAATAAACATTTGTAATGAAATATTAATGCTTCAGAATCTATTTCTAAAGTTACAAGTATAAGATTCTCATGATATAACCCAAATGGAGTGCTGCTCTTGTCTATCTGATGAAAAGTGTTCGTGTACCTATCAGAGTTTTAATGGAACTCTAAGAAAGTACGTCTGTAAAACAATAGGAAATTGTTATCCATCTGCAAGAGCAGAGTGGAAAGTTCAAATCTACTTATTTTTGTGTCTCAGTCAAGAAGTGATATTCTAAGTAGAGAGAAAAATAATCATTTGGTTTTGAAACTTGAGTCAAGTGATTCATGAGCTATTCTAGTTAGTTTCAAGTTTAGAAATTTGAGCGATGCTTTCAAGTATAATTTTATGTGGTCCCAATATAAGACATTTGCATGTTTAGTTGCTTCAAGATATAGATATTTCAGATTGCTTTCTGAGGAAGACTGAACACACTGGCTGCCAAATAAGACTGTAGGCTGTGTGTGTAGTTCCTTTGAAAATAGCTTTCACTGTCACCAAGTACAGATTTGAGAGCTTTCTCCCAGGAGCTGGAAGCTTCCTTCCTTCAACACTCGGGTTTTTTTTCTTTATGCCTTTTTTTTTTTTTTAAGGAAATGCTGAGGACGTGCATTCAGATCGTATGTTCAAGTAACTTTGTGAAGAGTGAGTTTCTGTTAATAAATAGTGTATAAATTAGTAGTTTTATTAACTAAAACTGTAATGAGGTCTCATTTAAACACAAAGTATGGATGGAAGTAGGGTTAAATTTTCACGCTCTAAGGAAATATATTTCCCTCTAAATACTATAATTTGATTCTAATAAGTAGATGTTTTAATCCTTTGTTCTTGGTACAGTCTTTGGGTAAAACGCTTTCATAGACTTCTAAAACTTTTGCCTTTCTCACAAAGGCAAACTGGAGAGAAGTTAAAAATAGTCAGAGCTTCAAGATAACAGTTCCTTTAAGCAGGCTGTCTTAAAAGAGTTAAGGCTTTGGTAGCATCTCTGTCTGTTTACTGACTTCATTGTGTTTTAGAAAGAAATGAATACTGTATTCCAGCACATTTTATTCTCCCTCCCATAAATAAATACATTCAGATAAGCATGCTGAGGCGTGTGCATCATACTGCCCTGTTCAGCAGCTTGACAGTTTCTTCTTTTTATGTTCTTGTCAGTTGCTGATTTTTATATCTCATACTAGAACCTAAAATTGTTTTGCCTTTTTTTTTTTTTTGACTTGTCATCTCCAGCAAGCAAAAAGGATTACAAAGTTCCAGGAAAAAAAAAAAAACAACTGTGGTTGGATTTTATATTAATTAAAAAAAAAAATCAGAATCCATGATTCCGTGTAATGAAGCTTGCAATTAATATGGGTATGTTATTAACTAATTGTGTATATTTGATCATATTACCGCAAAATCAGGAACACCAATTGTTGCTTCAGTTGTGGAAGTATGAACGCTTACAGTGTTTTAAAGAGGTAGAGCTGAAACGTACTACCTCTGAACAATGATTCTAATAGGTGGTTAAAATCTGCAAAGTTGTTAACATCAGTATCTCTAAAAGTATATTGCTCAAACACAAATTTTAAATATTATACTGGGAAGCAAACTTTTGAATATACTATTTCTTACATTTCAAAATGAAGCAGCCTTAAAAAGCAAATCTCAGTTATTGGGTCCTCAGTGTGAAGATTTTGTTTGATTAAATTTTGATGTAATTGTACTGCTTAACTGCCATTGTAAAGTTTGCTTTTTAATTATAAAAAATTAAGTATCTGAATGAAAAAATAGAAATGTGCTGAAATACCCCTTAGAGCTTGACTTTGTCTTTCATCTTTTTAGTCTTAATAGATGCTGATTAACAGTATTCTGAACTTTTCTCTGTCCTTTTTTTTCTTTCCGCTATGTTTTCACTACTTTTAGCGCTTCAGCATGGAAGGGATCTCAAATGTCATACAGAATGGCTTCCGCCACACGTTTGGAAACTCAGGTGGAGAGAAACAGGTGCTGGGCTATCTTCTCTTTTCCTTACTCTTTGCCTGCACTTTTGGTAGGAGCTGAGATCTTCAAAATTGACAGTAGGTGAAGATAAATGCTGAGACAGGAAAAAATAGGCCCAAAATGTTGGAATCTGTGCTTTCCCTGCCTCAGGACTCTGAACAGCCTACAGTGTCTTTCTCTCCTCAACAGCTCAAGACAGTCAGGATTTGATATCTGAGGTGTCAAAATAATAACACCCCATACTAAAAGTCTGTTTTGGCATAATGCATGCTTCAAATATGTTGCACGTCTGTAAAAAATCTGACATCCAATTGAAGAATGTGTATCAGGTTAGTTAAATGTACCAGCCATTTCTTTTTTCTCCAGATGTTCAGAGCCAGTATAGCTAAAAAACATGGTAGCATCTGAAAAATGCATGGACTGTTTTGCATACCTTTTTTGGCCTTTGAAAGTTGCATGATGTTAAAAGCAGCCAATGTGTGCAATGCATATTACAGATATAAAATACAAAAGCCATAGGCAAGCTTGTGTCTTTTTAACAGCTATTTAAATGTTGAAATATACAGCACAGAGACTCAACCTCAGTGGGCATTACTGTAGTTGTTACATATACCTACATAGCAAGATTCTTATGCCTTCTTCCAAAGTAATACTTAATTATTTCAGAACTGTAGGGTGTATTTTATTAAATGCATTCAGTATTTTGGTCAAGAGTCAATGCTTATGCTATTGTTTAGGCTTTTAGCACACATCACAAAGTAGGGTTATTTCACATTATTTAACACATACCCATCCATTATAGTTTATACAGTTGTGTCAGAAGTGTGTTAGAATACTGGGGGGTTTTCCCCTGCTGAGAAGTCCGTTGAAGCAGTAAACTGCCTGGTAGTTCAGAAGTCATGACTGATTAGGCTTTTGTCTGGAAGATGACTGGAGTATCCCATAGAGGAGTTCAGGAGGTAAAACAAATCCTCTGAAGTAAGTTCTGAATGATGAGGTTAGAAATCATGGACTTGCCCTCTTTCTCAAGCAAGGTATGAGAGTTCATGAAGACATAGAATCATTTCAGTGCCTCACCACCCTCACAGTAAAAACAGCTGTTTATTCCCAGCTTTGGGGATCTTGAATACATGCACTGAGCTTACCTAACATTTTTCATTACAGTATCTCAGTGATAGGTGTGCAGGGGTTTGGTTGTTGGTTTTGTTTGTTTATTTGTTTCCTTGCAATTTTTACCATTTAATAACATATTACAGCTGTTTACCTGTATCTTTAGCTATTTTAAAGGTCGTGTATTGTCATAAAGTAAACATATTTAGATATGCCAGCCCTTCTTACTTTTGATTAAAAGGTTTCTTTTGTATACATGTCTCTATTCAGATGTAACTTTTCTTCTGCCTCCTAACTTTCTTTATATAGGTAGCATTATTGTATATTAAGAATAGTACTGATTGGATAGCTCTTCCAGTCACTTTTTTGAGTTAGTTGTTTACTAATGCTATTCATGTTGATCATATTTTTCCCCTGATTTATCTTATATTATATCCTTGTTAGGAGGGTTATGGTTGGTTGGTTGGTTGGTTGGTTGGTTGGTTGGGGCTTTTTTTACCTTCCCTGTATCCTAAAACCAGTCATGGAAATAACAAGAACTTAAAATGAAAAATAGGGAAGAATGGTAAGAAAGATAACAGCATTTTGTTGTTTTGGGGTTTTTTTTATTTAGTCCTGGAAATCCATTTTTCTGCTGCATTTGTTTTTTTATTTGGGATTTTTTGTTTGGTTTTTGTCACATTATGAAAGCCTTGTCCTGCTTTAAAAAAACTGGTGATATCTACTTATTGCAGCAGATTGCAAGGTATAAAAAGAAAAAAACAAACAAACCACCAAACCATCAGACGCTCTGTTGCTTAGTGCTGCTCTCAGACTGTTCATTTAAGTAGGGGTTTTTGCGGTGTATTGTCATTATAAACTTCTACTCAAGTGTTTTCTGCCAGCAGGGAAGAGTTAGCTAACAATCTAAAGGGAAAAAAAAAAGAAATAAACAGGCAATTTTTTGTGTACCTGAAAAGGTAGAAGCTCCTACATGTAAAGTCCCATCATAAACTTTATGACAAGTTTGTACAGTCGCTTTAGAATTCTGCTCAGTTTTTAATTTTAATGGTATTTACTACCTTTGCTATTTTCTGGAAAGTATTTATCTGATAGTGAGTACTTTATAAAAATTAGTGTGTTTTTGAGACATCAGTGAAAATTACTTGGAATTTTTCATAGTTTAAAGAGCAACTTCCAGTAGGAATTCCCTGTGTTCATTTGATACTGCAGTTGGAAAACACCACCACCAACTGCATAAAAGCCATTGAAATACTGGTAGCTGTTTCTGTGATCATTTTTCCAGAAGAAATTTCAGAGTAGTCATCTTGGTATCAATTTTGAGGCATATCAAATGCTTTTTATGGGTGATTAGAAATTGCAGTGGGAATTGCTGCTTATCATATTGTGAGATCTGCATCAAAAATTCAGAGGTTATAGTAGACTTAGTACTTGGTCACATCAGTAAGCTACATTTTAGTCATTTTCTCTTCCATAATATGTTGTCTTTCACACAGCATTCAGGAAATGAGTTTTGATAGTGGTATTGTAGAGACTTGCTGTTACAGAACCAAAGTATCGATAAGAAAGATAAGATGATTTCTGGAAACTAAGAAAGACATTACTTTCAGGAAAATTACTTTCAGAACTCTACCTTTTAGGAAAACAGGGAATATTGGTATTTGGTCCAGTGAAACGTGCTAGTAATTTATTGCCTGGGTGAAAAGTAGAATGCTACTTCAATTCTGAAGGCTGAGATCTGATTTCTGAGTTAGAAGACTTATTTTCATCTCCGGCATTTGCAGATTTACAACAACAGCCTTATAGTTAGCTTTTGATTCCAATAATTTTAGTAAGTGTGCAGTTCTGTGATACCTGTTGGTTATGTCTGCTGGAAAAGAAATTTAAAATTGACTATTTCCTAAGAAGCATTGCATAGTTTCGTCTTCTGTGCTAAGTGTCTGAGAAAATGCAAAAGCAGAAGGGAGAGAGAAGGGTGCCCTGTGTTTGCATAAGGTCTTGGTGAGATGTCAGCACATTCTGTACAGTAGGTTCCTTTAAGTGACATGGAACTGAGTTTGTTTGGCTGTTTGAGCCTGAAGTGTATGATCCTGCTCTGATTGTGGCAATGGTTATAGCTGTGTCAGGCAACACTAAATCTCCTCCAAAGAACCACTTCACCAGAGTTTGAGTTAGACTTGACTTTTGCTGAAGTGTTGCTACTAGGTGAGAAGGAGACATTCTATATAACGTGTTTTCTGGTTGTTACATGATGAACCACACCTCAAGTTGAATGAGAGATAGGGGGTTGCTTTGCCTTCTGCCTTGTAGTTAATCCAGAATAAAGTTCCTGTTAAATTCTTAAAAATGTAATTGAGAAAGATTTCAGGAAGCTTTTTCATTTGGGAAAATTCCAGCAATTTCAGTACTTTTGAAATGCTGACCTCTAAGAAGAAAATGTATTCATATAGGCTACAAAGTAAGACATCACCTAAATGTCTAGTTTTGTTTTGTTTTATTTTATTCTCCCTGGAAAGAGTTACATTGTGATTTCTGATAAATATCACATGATATTTATAGGGGAGTTTGTTGTTTTATTGAAGAGCAAGTTTGAAAATTGTTCATCTGCATTTACAGTATTGTTTGAGGGGGTGGGACTTTAAATATATGAAGGACTTACGGAGGGAAAATGGGGAAGATTTTGCTATTGGTTTGCATATGCTCTGAGGAGGAAACCTAACCAAGAAGTCTTTTACTGTAAACAGCTCCAAATTTTAAGACTTTATTTTAGTGTTTGCCTGCGTGCCTTCTAAAGTAGTCATGTAATTAAGAAAAAACAAAATAAAAACAGAAGTTGGCTCCTGTGATAAAAGCTTTGGTATGGGAAAGATAGTATCTTAATCTGTTATGAAGTGCGATCTTTTGAAAAGCTTTTATTTGTGGTTAGCAATGTCATTTTCTCCAATTTTTGCAAAATAAAACACAAGCAGCATAAATTGCACAGAAGGACTGTCAAGTAACTCTGTTTTTCATTTGACAGTACTTAACAACCGTCATTCCTTATGAGAAGAAAAATGGACCCCCATCTGTTGAAGATCTTCAGACATTAACCAAAAGTGAGCATATAAAGTTCCCCCGCTGATCCTTTCCTCTTCGTATTTCCAACTGTGGTTTGCTCAAAACCAAATGAATCCACAGAGTTTTCTCTTTCCCCTTGCCTGTATGTATGTAAACTTGCATATACGTAAAGTTGCATGATTTTTAACTGCGTTTTGGCTAGTTTTTACTGGTTTTCTGAGCCTTCATGGTATGCTTGTTCTCTAGCTATTCTCTGAAGCCATGAAGACTAGAAACTGGCATGTATCAGAAATTTGGCACTCTTAGTTGGTAATTAATACTTATTCTGCAACAAATGGATATTTCTGTGCTATTTCTTTAGAGAGTATTGTCCTTAAGTTATGACTGATGTATTTCTTATATCTGATTTATATGTTTTTTTCATACTTTAGTCCTGCATGCCATGAAAGAGGATAGCGAAAAAGTGCCAAGCTTGTTAACAGACTATATTTTAAAGGGTAAGTGTGTTTCTTAGCAGGGATTTTCTTATTCTAAAATAGCTTGCTGTACATACAAGGCATGTTTGAAGAGAGTAGTCCTGCAGCATTCATGAGTTATGTTGCCTTCCTGTCAAACACAGCTCTTGTTTATATTCTATTTTGTTCTAGGTTTCTGAGGATGTAGTTCATAAACAAAATGTGGTTATTTTGTTTGTGATAGTATAATATAGAAAAGTATGAGGTGTATATTCAAATAGCTGAAAGACATCAGCAGGAGCAGAGCAGTCTGACATACAAAATTAAACAGGTATAGTTAAAAACTGTGTTGTACAGGTTTTTCCAAATTGGAATTCAAACCGCCTGTGATAGTATTGCATTTGCTAGATGAAATGCTTATAGCTTCATTTTAAGTACTACCTTCTTATCAGTAGTAAAAATTACTTATTTTATGTCTACTTGTTAGACCGTCTTCACATTTTATTTAAAAGGTTTGTGTGTAAGTCAGTTGTTTTCCAGTCTTACATATTGATTGTATTAATAGAATGTCAAACACTGAAAATTACTGCTTGCTGTAGGTTTGAGTTGTTCCCGGTAGTTTTCAGGTTGTTAAATTACTTCATAAAATTTTTTCTTCTGACTATTTTTGCCTAGATTGCACTAATGCTTATGTTCTTACTTAATTTTTGTCATATAAATGGTACCATCTTCTTTAGTGTTTAAACTAAACTTTATTGTTTAAGCTAAGTATCAAACTCCCCAGATCTGAACAGATGGGCATACAAAAGGATGATGCATGCCTTATTTATTTATTTGCCTATTTATTTTCATTTGGTATCATGTTCTCCAAGAGTCACTGTTTCTTCAAATACAGTCACTTGACATAACTCCCTCCATATGATTTTTAAAGGTTTTTGTGTTTCTAACCAGACTTCTGATCACTCTTATGTCACAGAGATTTGAAAGCACTTTCAGGTTAAAGTTGTAGATGAAATTTAGTGTGGTTTTGCTTTAGGAAAATCTGAATAGTGCCATGCAGTAGTCTAGAAGTTCCAACAGACTTCATGTTGGAAGGGGCTCGTTTTGAAGTTTTGTGTAGGGTTGCAAAACTACCACATACAATAAGAATGCAGAAATCCTTCCAGCTGATTCCTTTGATTTCTCCATTGTTTACTTACCCTTTCTGAAAATCCTTCTTAAATTACACTGATGTATTTGCTTATGATCTGAAGAGCCATTTAGGCTAAAGATCAAAGTTTTTTTTAAAGATGATGGCACAAAACATCAGATTAGTGAAGCAGAATCTTTGACCCAAGAGGATAAACTGCTGTCAATAATTACAGCTGCTTGCTCTTCATCATAATACATATGGTAGAATTCTGAGAGTGTGACTGGAGTGAATAGTGCCCTTTACAATGTCTGCTCTTATTTTAGCTATCCAGGAAAGCTTTCAGATTACTAGGTTACTGAGGAGGAACTGGCTGGGTAGGGAAATGGCGAAATCTACAGAGAGGGCTTATAAAAGTAGATTAGCTGAACATATGACAGGATGATCTAGAAAGCCTGATACTGAGGTTCCCTCCTACTTCTGCCTCTGCAGGCTCATGAATTTAAAATCAAGAAGGATGTTCTACTAGGTAGATGCATCAATGAACATCGTACATTAAATATGTTGGATCGAACAGATTGTCATACACAAGCACTCTGGTCTCTAAATTGTAAAACACAAGTGATGGGAGCATGAAATCACTCACATCACTCATACTGAAAGGAAAATGTTCTTCCCTCACAGCTACCATTTCATTACTGAGCACAACTAAGCCTTTCTTAATCTTCTGCAGGTCTGTTTGCACAGCGGCAAGTAGTGTACAAGCTAGTAAGCACAGAATTTTACTATTTCTTTCAGTGTAGCTTTAACTAAGGTTCATATTGCTATGTTTAGATTATGTTATATATTTATAGCTTGGCTGGCAGGGTTACATTGTAATGGAGATGTATCCCATGCAATAGGCAAAGACTTGCAATAGTTTCTGAAATTGTAATCTGTTTCTCATTTTCTGTCACTAAAACTTCTGGCCCGAAGCCTCACTGAGGCTTCACACATGGCACAAAATACTCCCAGCCACCTGTCTGTTGTCTAGAAATTATTTCTAAGCCTGTTAAAGGGAGCTTAGGTGATTCTATATGATCACTTAAAGCAACTTTCAGCTCAGCTTTTGTGCCTGAAATTCCAAGGTACTTCTTGAATTTCAAATAAGAGGAGTGACCTGCTTTTTGAAGAGTCTGCTTTCTTCACTGGAACGATTAAAAATGCCCTGGCAAGGTGAAAATTATTATCAAGATTTAGGGGTTTGAATTTGCTTTCCAAAAGAAGCAGAAGGATAACAAATTGTGGGCTCAGTAATAATAACCTGTATAGTATACTGATAATTGTATTAATATGAATGGATTCTATTTCTTTATATTGAGCTTTAATCAATAAATGAAATTTTGAAATCTGTGAAATAGCATCAAAGATGTTTTGTTGAATCTGTTAACTTCTTGTTCCTCTGAGGATCAAGGCAGTAAATTATTATGTTGACAATAGGATACATGTAGCTTTATGGAAAATTCAGTTAGTGTAGCATTTTTCAGGAGAAGTAGAACCCTCTTTCTAGCCCTGTATTCCATTGTACAGGGCAAAGGGAGGGGGGAGGAAAGCTTACTTATAAGTCCTTAACAATTTTTTTAAAGCAGCACTGTCTTTTTATTCTATGATATTTAAAAAATTAGAGCATGCAGTCTTACGTGGATGTTATGGATGTCCACAGAATTGGTAATTAAAGTTGCCCAGACACTGATGGTTGCTGTTGAAAAGTTATTTAGTTTGTTTAGAAGCAAGAGCCAAAGGACGAAATATCAGGGAAAAAAATCATTCTAATAATTACCGTAGTATTGTTGGCATAATGTGATGAGACAAATGAAAGAACACAGTGAACCTGGAATGATTAATGGAAGCGAAAGATTGAGTTAATTTAACAAGAAATCTTGCCAAATTCACTGGTGTTATCATAAAAGCAGACAGACTAAATTATTTTTTTTTAATCTGAATTTGGTAGTGGTTTGTTGAAGTGTCATCATCTTGAGTATCTTGAACTAAATACCAAACTAATTCTGAAACTTGTGAAAGACTCTATTTGGATCATGTAGGAAATCACACTCAGACCCTTTCTGAGTGTGGTGTCTGGTACTTGGTACCTTTGTTTAATCATGATTGAGTAGATTTGTTCTGACAGGGCAATTTGAGCATGAGCTGTGCTGAAGTATGGGACTGGGACTCAAAAGGAGAGTCCTGTAACCAGATTGCTATTGACCTTTTGTATTAATGTGGATCATTCTTCTGCCTGTTTTCATAACCATCTTCTGAAATGCTGGAAATAGAAATCCTCAGAATATGAAGTGTACAAACCCAGTATAAGAAAGAAGTGAAAAAGGGCAATGTGACTCTGCATTTCATGTTAGGGGAAGAAAAGCCCAAACCACCTCCATATGCATATCTGAATAGGATTATTAGCTTTGAAATTATTTCTACTGCTTGCTTGTTTGAAGTATCCTCTTTTCCCAATTTCTACTGCCCTCTTGTGTCCCCCAAAATGTTAAAAATAGCATCATTTTGTCCTCATGCTTAAGTCCCTCTTTCCAGTGATCATTTACCTCTCCCCTGGATCTATTCCATAGGGAGTACCTTGTCTCAGAGGTAAGTATCCCAAAGCCAATGTGCATACTCTATGCAGAGTCTCATACAACACAGTAGCTTACCTTGTCTTGATCGTGTTATTCTTGATGCAGCCTAAATTATTTTAAAAAGAGCATTTTTCCTTTTCTGGGATTTTGTTTCTTTTTACTTTTCAGTGAACATTTCCATACTGAAGTTAGTAATAATGAAAGGGACTTAGTGATTTTTATTTTTTTTTTTTGACAGGCTTGAGGGTCAGGGCAGTACCAAGCACAAGTACAGGCTGGGTGGAGAATGGATTGAGAGCAGCCCTGAGGACAAAAACTTGGGGGTATTGATTGACCTGCAAGAGGGGCCTACAAGAAATCTTGGAGGGACTTTTTACACATAGTGATGGGACAAGGGGGAATGGTTTTAAGCTGAAAGAGGGTCTATTTAGAGTAAACATTAGGAGAAACTCTTTACGGTGTGACGGTGATGAGACACTGGCTCAGGTTGCCGGGATAAGCTGTGGCTGCTCCATTCCTGGCAGTGTTGAAGGCCAGGTTGGATGGGGCTTTGAGCAGCCTGATCTAGTGAAAGGTGTCCCTGGCCATGGCAGGGGAGTTGGAACTAGATGATCTTTAAGATCCCTTCCAATCCAAACCACTCTTTGCTTCTATCAGTTTGAGTGCATGCGGACAGAGGAACGATATGGGGAGGACCTGCTGGTATTGAGTTCATAGCAAATTTAAAGTAGAAGCTGAGGAAGGCATCATGGGAAGGGGAATTACCTAGTTACTGTTCAGGAATTACCTGTTTCCTGTTGTGAGGGTGGGGAAGAACATCTGAGGAAATCTGCTGGAAGCAAGGGCTTCTTAATTTAGCTACTTACAGAACAAATAAATCATAGAATAGTTAGGGTTGGAAAGGACCTTAAGATCATCTATTTCCAACCCCCCCTGCCATGGGCAGGGATGCCTCTGTCCAAGCTTGCCTTGATATATATGAAATGTTCACCTATAGATACACACAGAATAAAAATATTAGGGATAGGTTGTCTGTTACACATTATTTGAAGATTATTAGTTTTTACTTCCAGTTTTTACAAAATTTGAAGGTTTAACTTCATGTACAGGGATAGTTTTTTAATATAACATACTACCAGTATGATATACAAATCGAATAAATCATTCATCTGTATCCTTGCAAGTTTAGTTTTTTTCCTTAATTCAAGAAAACACATAAGCGTAAATAATTGTGATATTCTTAAAACGTAACTATTACAAGTAACAGTGTAAGTATGTACTTACAGCTGAAATAAATGCCTTTGAAATCAGATACATCCTTACAGTCAACTAACTGTTCTAAGATGTATATGTTGCCAACCTTTGTGTTCTTTTCTGATTGTCCTTAAATAGTAATTGTGACATAAGTACAGTACAAAAAAATAATATTCAATACATCACTACTGAGTAAAGCACATGAAATATGTTTAATACTACTTTTAGGCTTTTTTTCTGACTGGATATCATGAAAGCAGAATAATTTTCCATCTTTAAGTTTGTTTTGCTATTTCATACCTGATCTTTCAGGCTTCTAGTAAAGGCTTAAAAAAAACCCAACTGTTTCTTTTTTTTTGTTGTTGTTGTTTTATGTTGGTTTTTTTTTTTAATAAAGCAAGAATTTACACCTTGTTCTATTTTTAAATTATGCAGGTATTTCAGATCACAAGAACATTTTCTTGCCTTTGAAGTTTTTGTTTGATTGTTAGACCTGACTTCTTTATTTGCTTTTGTGTTATGCTAGCATGGGTTTGAAAGCTGGATTGCTCTGAGGTTTGTGTCTTACATGTGAAACAGGAATGAGAAACACATGAAGGACATGTCTTATTTTCCCCCTGTGTGATTCAAGTACAGGTACCAGAATTAGAAAGTAGAGCTAGAATCTCAAATTGTCAGTGCATATTTTTAAGATATAACTGTACGCATCACCTGTTTATTTAATGTTTTGTTTTCTAATAGAACACCTCAGAAAGCACTGTTTAAGACATGACCTTTAGACAACTCATTTCTGGATCATGTTAGTTAAAGATAGTGGGTTGTGTCACTTAATTATCTTTTGAGAAGAGGATGATATATACTAATTACCAGTTTCAAGTAATGTCTAGATTTTACAGTGTTACTAATAGGGTAGAATTCGACACTTTAAGTATTTTAGTATGTACATTATATTTTTATACAGACTAACTTCACTGATGCTTATCAAGATGTATTTGTGGTTCTTTTGCAGTTCTGTGTCCTACGTGAAGACGCCTGTCTTTCAAACTAATCATTCTCCTTCCTGGATGAGAAGCTCTCCATGTATATAACTCATAGTATTTTTTCATTTGGCACTATACCTAAACCATTATGCATTTACCTCCTCTGTGTGTGTGTATATTTTCTGATCCTACAGTAAGTCTTCTGAGCATGACAACTCATCCATTTTAACTTAATAGTGCAGTGAACTGGAGCAGGGAACAAACATTGTACAGTTTTACTCACACTGTTCTGGCTTTTTAAAGTCTATTTTTACATTGTATAGCATGTAGTAAATCCTCCCGCACATTTAATTGTTGGAAGGAAACGTAAACTTTGAATAGTGTAAATAAAATAAGCCTAGTTTTAAGGAATCCATATTTAAAAGCATCCTTAGTTCCTATAGCAAAGATGGAAAAAGGATAATAGTCAGGCTTGGACTTTTAAAAGATTCAAGCGAGTTCACCAGGAAGCACTCCAGAACAGTGCTGGTGGAAGTCAGCTTTCAACACTTCTTTTTAAATAGTAACTTTGAACTGTACAACAGTATTGCTTATACTGGAACAAATCCAGATTCTTTGATGGTTTTGCATAAGTAATCCTTGGTTACCTATCTATGTTATTTAATAGAAACATCCAAGTAATGTAATATCTCATATTTGGTTTTATTTTAATTATTAATCTTCATGTGGCTTAGGTATTCTCCCATGTTGCTGCTGTAATTTTACTGTTTTTATTAAATGTTTGATCTTAATGAAAATGCTTCAATATATAAACATTTTAAAACACTGTATCTTTTTAAAAGTACCTGTACAGTTTAAAAAACTTGCACTTGGGTCCCAAGTTAGTATTATACTGAGACGTTCATTGTTGTGTATCTCTGAATTTTACTACAAATCTCTCTTGTAAATTGTATGCACTGTCTCCTCTGTGATGATGTATCTGCATTCAAACAGATGCGAATGTATTTTATAAATCTTGTAGAAGAAACATACCCCATAATCTCAACATCAAATACTTGTCACAAATAATTTTGCTAATATTAAAGATCATATTAAAATGTAAGGAGTGCTAATAAAAATAAAAGAACTATTTTCTAGGTTGAATTGCTATTGATTCTACACACAGATTTATATACTGTCTATGTGAAAGCACTAGAAGATAAGGTTCTAAAGAGACATGTATGTCTTCAAACAGTTTTTCCATTTAAAGTTGTTTTTTTGTTAGTTGAAGAGAAATTTGGTTCTGAATACCTTACCCAATTTTATCATTGTCACCAAATGCTCATTTTGATCAGTAAAACACATTCAGTTTGAAAACAGTTCTCATAATGCTTTCTCTTTTCTAAAGGCCTCAATATTTTTGTCTTTTGTGCCTTTTCAGTCAGTAAGGTTTTCAGCTCAAGATTCTTTCCTGTTCCCTGTCCCCCACTTGACCACCAATGGGTACTTCCCCGCCTGCTCAGGAATAAATAGATCCTCTGCATAAGTGTGTCATATGTAAGGAAGTTGAGGGTGGTTTTGTTGCTCTGTTCTTTGCTTTATTCATTTGTGGTTTCTCTAACAAGAATAGCTGCCATTTATTTCTTTAGCTGATATATTATGAACTCATTGTGGCATGCTTTTTGTATAGAAATGCTTGAGGTTGACAAGTGATGCCTGGAAATTGGAAAATTCTGCTTTTTTTTTTCAAAAAGTGCACATGCTGTGGAACGCACCATGTCTTCCAATGAGATCTATTCAGAGATGTTTCAGTCTACTTTTGAGGCTTGAAGTGACAAGGTGGAACAAAATGATGACAATTAAGAACTAAAAAAATAACAAAACAGTTTAGCAAATCTTGTATGACTTGAAGTCATAAAATGCTAAAAGTAGTAAAACTTGAAAGAAAACCCAGCACTAAGGACTAGAAACAGCTTTAGTGATCTAAACATCTGGTTGGGTATATAATGCCACTCATCAAGTTAAAAAAGATATTATTATTGTTACCTGTTTACCTTGTATGTAAATCCTGGCATTAAACAACAGTTGCCAAAGGTGGCAAGTACTATATGTGTACCTATATATGTACATTAAAAAATAAATCTCAAAACATTTGAATAAAAAGAACCATGCAAGTAGCTTTTCTGTTGAGTTTATGTACTTCATATTCTCTGTTATGCATCCTTTTTCCAGGTGCGTTATTGAATCTTGTGCTCTTTCAGGGAGCTGAATTTCATTATTATTTTTAGGTTTAGCAAGTGACAGCTGTAAATGACAGCCCAAGAACAGCTGCTGAAAAATACCCTGGAAGAGATTTGGTAAAAATGCATTTTTACCAAAATCCATACCATTTTTAATACAGAGAGTCCTGGGAGCAAAGTCATCTTAAAATCATTGAATTTTAAATTACTTAAATCGATACAACTTTAATAGCCCTTTTTTGTTTGGGTTTTTGTTTGGTTTGGTGGGGTTTTTCTTTTTTTGGTGGTTTTGTTTCTGTTTTGTTGTCTTGGGGTGGTTTTTTTGCGGGGTGGGGGGTGGCAGGGGTTGTGTTTTCTTTAATCCAACCCTTTTCCTGGGTGTCAAGTGTTGCATTTATGTAAGCTTGCTCACTTGCTGGCTAGAGTCAAATTTTGAGTCAGGGACTGCCTGGAAGTCTGACTGAATTATGGTTAGAAAGGAAACTCGAAAACAATGTCAGTTCCGTTCTGGTGAAAGCTATTGATTTAGCTGGACTCCCAGCTGGTGTAGGTAATTGGTGATAAAGAACACGTGCTGTTGACTGTGCTGGGTAATCCTTGCCTTTAACTTGGAGTAGTGTTTTTATTACAGCAGTTCACATCGTTGCTTCCAGACTGGAAATTACCTTGTTATTCTTTCTGTATGCATGCCTCTTGGAAAACAGCAGCTAGCCCAGAAATGGCACTCTCTGTGCTCAGCACCAGTGTGGTAATCAAGTGTGCCTCTCTGCACAGCATGGGTCACAGCAGCTGCCTCCTCACTTCCAAGGGGACAATTTAAGCTCCAGGTTTCAGCTCCTGCAGCTGGTCCAGAGCCTCTGTAGCAGGACGCCTGCTTCTCCAGCAGTGGAGGTCAGCAGCTTGCTTCACTTGAACCATTATCGATGCTGTTCAGTTGGGAAGGACCTAGAAGCAAAGTGTTCCGGTGAAGCACTTTCAGCTCAAATGCAGCCAAGCTGGAACCTTCTGACTTGGGTCATTGTTCTGCAGTGTATCTTTCTTTTGGGCAATGGGGCTGTACTGTACCAGTAATAAGAGTCCATGTGGGAGTGGGCCTAGTTTCTGATTCAAAGATCAATCCTATTTTTTAAGACTTCTCGTGAAATTCCAAGTTATCCCTGTATACAAAGTCACTCCAGAAAGAGAATTTCTTATCACTGAAGAATTAGAAGAAATGTTTTCTTCTTTTAAGTGTTTAATCCTAGCTGGTGAATGTAAGTGTCTTGTTCCCTTGCTCGTGTTCTTTTGATTAGAACCTAACTCAGGCCTTCCTGCCTTCTTGTTCAACACATTTAATTCTTCAGTTTTGATCAATACACTCAGTATTGATCAGTGATGGCTCTCTGGATTATCTGCTGAATGTCTAGTCTTAACAATAATTGTTGAAGAAACGGTATGAACTGGGAGAACTAGTTACTTAATTTTGGTACTGCATTTTCTTTCTCCATCCTTTATAATCTGCCAAAGTTGAATAGAAGCCTCTGTTTGCACTGAATGCTAATTTAAACAGAGGTCATAATTTTGTTGTTCATTTTCCAGCCTGTCTTTGTGTTTGGGTTTTATGCTAACCTTATGCAATATTAATTTTCTGTAGTGTTGCATGCAGATTTATGAATTCAAATGCATGTTTCTTTGAAACAACACGTTATAATTTAGGCTTAATGCCTTGGTTGAAGAACTCAGCGAAAAAGGTAACATATTTGGATTTCCTTGATCAGGAAAATGTTTGGAGAAGGCCCCAGTTTTTTCAGAGCTATGGAAAGGAAACTCTAATCCCACATGTTTCTGTCAGGATGCAACCCTGCACAGTTCTAGAGCTTGGTGGTATTCAGGGGTCTGACCAAAGAAAACAATTTGGATTTTCCCACCAACTGCATTTTTGGCCTTCAGGAATATTATATTGACCAGCTCAAGCAGGCTGGTGTGCAGGAATTCTTTCCAGTGGGATGGCAGCATTGCTGTTGAAATGTCAGTTCATTTTTATCTGTACACAAATCATTGACTGCTCCCAAGAATGTTTTGCATTCCGCTTGTTATTGCCTTCTCAGGAAAACTAGTTGTGCAAAATAAATCCCATGTAGATCACGTTGCTTATCTGCATATTTGGAATCTGTGGTTGCAAGATGCCTAAATTGGCAGGGAATTGCCCCAAAACACCTTGCAGCTATTTCTTCATGAAAAATTATCTCCACAGTATTGCCTGCATTCACCTCTTTCCAACCTTCATTGAAGGCTGGAAATTGTCCTTGAGAGGAATTTGGAAAAGAGAAATGCAGAACCACCACTGTCACTTTCAGCTCCAGGAGTTGAGATTGTCTGCTAGTGATAGCATGAAAATAGTTGAGAGCTGCTTCTTCCTGTCATTGATGCGAGGAGGTAACCATCATATCAGACTGACTAAAACTCATTCTCAGCAGAAGTGCTGAGCTTTTGCCTGAAATTGGGCAATTGCTCCCTCTAAATGCATATCTGATATCATAAAAGACTGAGCCCTTAGAAGGTTCCGCTTTGCACTCACTGCAGTGGGCAATCCCCCTGTGACCATTGGACACAGAAGCCCAACGTGGCACTGCAGGTGCCTGTTACACTGAACAGCACACAAGTGAGTGTGTAAGTACTTGGTGTTGAAGGATGGTCCTGTAGAACCACTGCACTTCACTGTGGTGACCGCTCCAGTAGGATAGGGCCCTTGCCATCTTCAAGATTTCTACAGGGTATTTCAACCACGAGGTATGGACAAGGAGGTCTTTCTTCCTGTTTCTGTACACATTGCTTCTTCAGTGCCTCATTAAGGTTTTGTACTGCTCTGAACTGATTTAAGAAGTCGAAGTATGACTTTGCTGGCTTAGAATGGTAAGTGTTGAGCTTTGGGGTAAAGATTTGAGTAAAATCCTATAGTCTTCACGGCAATTTGAAGAGACCTGCATCTAATAATGTACGTTTGGGTTAGCAAACTATTAGTGACTGGGGTTTGTATGTTCATGTACCCTTTGACATAGACGGATAGTGACATTTTCAATACTAATCAACAGCTCTGTTGGCTGCCTCCAGGCAATTCTGCACTCTTACAAATTGCTCCCAGAACAAAGTTCACCTATGTAGCCAGAATTTTTTTCGAAGCTCAACGTTTTTAAAAGCCTATTTACATAAACAAGTGTATGAAGAACACAGAATGGATTTCAATGGATTTCATTAGTGGTATCCCTAAACAATTCACAAGCATGTTTCAGTAGCTAGAGCAGTTCTGGGAACATGAGCTGAGAACACACCATGCAGACCATATCCCTAGCATTCTCTTGTAGAAACTATTCCCTGGAACTGAGAAACAGTCCCCTTCTCACAGCTGAAAGCAATCACAGAGCTGAGCCACCAGAAGGCGTTGGCATGTCAGGAGATGGCTGTATTCTTTGCCCCTATGGAAGCTGCTCAGAAGCACATAGAAATCAGCTGCAGATGGATAGACCTCAGAAGGTAAGACCAGATAATGTTGCAGGGCAGGGCTGGCTGGCTGGCTGTGCTGGGCTGCTAGCATGGAGAAGCACTGTCAGAGCCAGTGGCAGCCGCTGATGCAGAGGGTGTGAGACTGAAATGCAGTCTGGCTGCTGCAGGCTAATGACTATTGAGCCCAAAAGAAGAGAAGGGACTGTTGAGGAGTGGGTGAAAGAGGGGAGGTTGTCAGTGCATGAATTGGTAAGAGAGAGTGTGCTGGGAGACTGAAAGCCCCATTTTGTCTGCTGGTGTGAGTTGGCTTGTTTGTGGAGGCTGGTTCAGTTGTCCAATAGCTGGGTATTAGAGGGACTCTGTGTTTTTCTGCTTGCTCTGTCATCATGTGCTTAAGGGGAAAACAAAACAGGGCTGCATGTGCATCTGTGTGGCACCGTCCTGCTGGGGTCTGTAACGGCTTCTCATCATCTTTGTACAGACTTCACAGTTCAGAGATTATGCACATCATATCAACCTTCCTAGTGCCTACCAGTCCTTTAGGTTTATTAAACCGAACGCCTATTCTATTGTGGTCTGGGGCAGCACAGGTAAAATTAGCAAGGGTAAGTGATATTTATTATGCTGTGAATTGTACCTCATATATCTGCAGGGTGGAA